GACCTGCTGTGTGAACAAAGCCTCTGACCAAAATTTCAGATTTATCTGAATGCCAAAAGATTTTTACATGATTTTCAAATTAGAATTCATAGAACTTGCCTTGTATGCTTTTTTTGTATTTCTATTTATTTACGCACTAGTTCCTTGTTTAAATAATGTAGGCAAGATAAATGTCAAACCTTAAAATTGTTACATGTGATCTAAATCACAAACTATTGTTTCATTTTAGGCCAGTAAACATATGGATCAGCCATGTTCATACCTTTGGCCTATACTACAAAGCAGGATCAGTGGTTTATCAATATAACCTCAGTTCAAGGTTCAGTTTGAGTTTTTTTCAGTAGAACGAAGCTTGTTCATTTCTGACCCAGCTGTGTCCCCATGGTAACAAAACAGAAAAATCCTATATTATAAATGAATAATGACACTTATATTAATGAGCACTACTATGAGCACATTTCCTCATCTTAATTCTTGTTCTCCATTATCATAGTGTAAGGAAAATAAATATGAGATTTGTTTTTGTGTATTCTATGAGGTTAATACATGTGTAAAGTTTTATATATTTGCTATCAGTGGTATATGTTTTTTCCTTTTTCTGTTTGGTCCTCTAATATCAGCTCAATCTGTAATACCCTGGGTGAATGGCTTCCTGCTAACATTAAGATATGTAATCATTGAGAAGTTTTCTAAAAAAAATTGTTTCTTTAACAGAAAATGTATTGAACCTGCTTTCTAGTATAGGGTTCAGGTCTGAGCAGTGCTTTTTTGCTTTTGATTTAAAAAAATAAAAAAAACAATTTTCAGTGTATTTGAATGTGAACGCCTAAAGAAAAAAATCTAAAAACACACATACGTTTATAATCTGTGCAATCACCTTCTTCACTTTAGTTCCTTGTGGACAATCGGTTATGTTTTGTCCTTCTTTTCCATCAGTGTTACCACGTTGTTTGTAGACCTGTGTTTTCTTTTAAATCAATATCCGATGTCTTTAAGATAATTATTTAAAAGATTTGGGTTTCAAACTCATTCTAATGTGTAGCAATGTGTCTGCATTGTTATTTAGTTGCACATTAATCAGCTTCATTTAGGCTGACTAAAACTGTATTTTGTGTATGTTTTTTAAAAACATTCATTTGTTTTGAACAAATCTGCTTTTTTGCATACCAAGTGTACTTAAAGCGCTTTTGGGCAGGTATCCCTGATTAAAAAAAAAAACAGAATTTTGGGGGGCCTGCCTCAAATACATTAATGTCTAGATGACAGCATTGAGATATGCATTAGCTTACGCTCTTGTATATAGGTTTAAATAAACATCCACAGCAACATGAATGGTAACGGTGATGTAAATAAGCAAACCAGGTTTGTCTCATAAAATAAACATCAATTGTTATATTTTGGTTTTAAACCTAAAAAGACTCTTTCTAAAGGCGCTGGTGTGAAATAACATTTATTTGATGTAATGAATGCATGTTGTTTTTAAAAAGGGTTTTATAATCCGTGAGCCCTAATAAGGAGCATTGTTATCATTTTTTATAGAGCATCGCCATGCATGCTGAAATTTGCTTAAGCATATTTTAATAAATGCAGTATGTAATATGTTGATTTAATGTTGTGGCTTTAAAATATTTACCATGAGCAGCTGGTGCTTCAGATCATCCTCTTGTGTGGTATCATTTGGTTAACATTTTATACAGTTTAAATTTACTTTGGACTGTTAAATCTACTTTGTCCTCTTTGGAAATTTCTGTCTCCAGAATTTTTGAATGATGTTACAGCCCTACATTTCTACCTCACTGATACAAATCAAATGTATTAACGACTGAATTCTTGTTTCTGCATTCCAGGCTTTGAGGCTAGCTTCTCTGAAGCAATGCATTTTATTGCAATTAAAATAAACTGCTTTTCATTTCATTTAGCAGGACTGATGTTTTTCATGCTCCAAAGGAGGTTTGTTGATGTTTGTTTTATAGAAAAATAGCTTAGATGTTTGTAATTCTGTGTTTAAAAAATAAGGGAAGGAAAGTAAATTATATTCTACTAAAAGTGGCATTTCAACAAGAAGGAACCCTGAGCTGGAATTCAATGGCCTGCAAAGCAACAGTACGATCTGACCACATGTACTGCCCATATAAACCTCTTACGTATCAAAGAATTGGAAGCTGGATTGATGTTCTAATTTGGTGCTAGATTAAAGCCATATTTCACATTTTTATGACTCTATTACTTTAAAATAAAAGTCACATTAATAGGAGAATTTAAAAAGAAAGTATCTTTTTAATTATTTTACTAAATTAATATAGATTTTGTCTAAAAAAAAAAAACTTTTTTGATAAGAAGAATAAAAAATATATAACTAGTAATTAAGCCCTTCCACCAGCTTTTTGAATTGTTCTAAAGGTATTTTGTATTTATATTACAACATATTTACCGGATGCTCAATTTGAGCCAAAGCCTGGTTGAAAACGTGGATCGATGCAGAATATATTAGAAAATCAAGAATGATAAGATCTGTCCAGTTGGAGCCCGGTTTATTTATAGAAAAATACTGATTGTGACATGGATGAAGATGGGGCTGAGAAATGTTGGGAATGATAGATGATATTCTGAGATAATCCCTATCCACCCCCCTTCATTAGATTTCACATTTACAGGCTGATCATGGCCCTGCAATGGACTGGCGAGTTGTCCAGGTTGTACCACGCCTTTTGTCAATAGACTGCTGCAGGAACCACCCCCAACGTAACCCTGACAGATGAAGCAGGAGAAGATGGATCCATGGATGTTGATCTTTGATTTAATTTAAATGGTAATATTTTTCGCACCTTTAACTGTGAATCCCAGGGCTCCAAAAATATTCAACAGTTTATTTAAGGCATCTCTTCAGTTCCAACCATATTATACTGTCTGAATTTTTAATTTAGAACAAAATTAGACTAAATCCATACATTTTATGTTCTCTATACAAACAGTCAGGAAAAAAGGACAATTAACCTGTTTTGTGTATAGAGCCTTTTATGAATAGTTTTTTTTTTTCTATCATTTAAGATAAAAATTTAATTTTACTTCAATACATTGTAGAAGCTGTGATCATTTAGTTAAGTAAAGGAGCTCAGTCAGTACTTTTACCAAATTTATTTATTTTTATTTTTTAGGATTCTGTCCTTAGGTAAAGAATATGAACACTTTTGATGCCTCTGCCTACTATGTGTAATCTTAACTACTCTTAGAACAGGTGAATATACAGTGACCAGTAGATATTGTCAGTGGAAGTTACCTACTCTGCCCCAAAATATACAATTCTCACTCTAAGGCTTGGTTTCATAAGCAGGACTGCCAACTTTTCACCAAACCTTGGGGTGAGATTCAGAAATAGTTTGGACAGGAAATCCTGTCAGGGTTAGATAAGGATAGGTGCAGCTATAAGTTGGAGATTTTCAGAGGATTCAACTGAAACAAAGTGGCAAAATGTGGAATTTTTATTGCACAGTAAATGTTACTGAGTAACATTAAGTGGTCTGTAGTTATGTGGGACATTTTTCTCATATTATACATTATTTTCTACATTCTGGTGATTTTTAGAGAATTGAAGTAAAGCAAAAATGGGACCCACTCTCATCTTAAATATACTGTAAACTAAAAATTTTACAACTTGGTTCATTAACTATTCTCTTCAGTTCAAGTAAATAAAAAAATGGGGAACGAATAAGCTATTAGTGGACTAATGGCACTGATGCAGGAACCAGTGCAATCGAAACCTATGCAAACTACACTGTGTATGAATATTTGATAATAGGCTAAGGATTACAAAGCTTCATTCGTTATGTAGGCTGTAGATTTGATAAAAACTCATCATGACAGGAGACAGCACTTATCTGGATGTTTCAGTTTGGAAGGTGTGATGGAAATTAAGTTTTTAAACATATTCAATGGAACAAAATAAAAGTAAATGAATAAGATCAGTAATAATAAAAGAAAAACATCCATGTGGTTTCTCCTCTATGAATCCAGGATAAATGAGTTGTGCTGCATTTCCCCTCTGTATGTTGTTGGTCTTTTCTTGGGTGGCTGATCTTTTGAAAAATAAAATGCAATGGTTCTTTTTCTTTTTGTGGACCTCATATGGGTTTGAGAGCTAAAATATTTGTATTTGATTATTAAACTAGACTGGGCAATAATTATTTAACTCGTAAGCAAAACATGGACTAAAACTGGGACTTAAAAAGAGAATTATCCTAGTCTAGATGAGATAAGATAGAAATTAAAATGACATACCTCACAACAACTGTCTTTTTTTAATACCTAGCACAGTGATTAGGTGGTAATATGGACTGGATATGAACCTGGCACGTCCTTGTGTGTTTTCGCACTAAGGTTGTATTAAAAACGCAGACTAGATTTTGATCACCATGGTATTTTTATACATAAATAAGTGTATAGGAGTTGAGTTTTAATGTCTGTTATTTTTAGTGTGAGAAATTGGGAATATGGAGTGAGAGTGTGTGAAGACGTCTCACTCCCAACGGATGAGAGTTGACAGCCCTCAATAAGTATGGTATTAAAATAACTGATTTTAAAAGTGTGTCTGCATTAATGTGTAATCATGTTATTTATCGATACTTTTAAATGTATTTTATTCTTTGAAATACTGAATACATTTTATAAACACTGTATCAGTTGTAATGATCCAACTATAACTCAGTACTTGTTCTAAACGAAATTTCTTTTTGTTTTACACTTGTGTAAACAAAATGTCAAATAAATCTTTCTAAGTACTTCAGTAGCTTTTTTTTTTTTTACTTTATAGTATTTTCTTGAAAAGCTTCTTTGTACTTGAGTACAAGAGTTTTGAAGTAGTATTACTCTTACTTGATTACAAATTTTTGGTAGTCTTCTCACCTCTGTTGGTCCTCGACGTTAATCATTTAAGAATAACACTAAAAGCAGATTCTGAACTCTATTCGAGCCTTTTGTCCCTCCTCGCCTCCCCTAGTAGCGGAAGGCTAATCACATGACCAGGTGGGGCTGCAGCAACTGTTGGAGCCGAGCAGTGAAGAAAAATCCAAACTGTCAACAACACGCCAATTCTCCAACACATTTATTCTCATGGATGATCTCTCTCGGTGATTTAAAAGGTCAGTGTCTGTTTATTTGGTTGTTTTTAACGTCATTCTTTATCGTGTCTCTTTCTGCGCTGCAAGAAGAATAAAAGCAAAGGAGATTAGCCATGTTATGCTAACAATGTGTTGCTGTCTTTATATGAAAAAGACGTAAGGCGCAAAAACACAGCAGACCGAAAAGGGGCAAATTAGTTGTTTTTGAAATTATATACAACCAATGTATCATCTAAATTAGCGCAATCCAAAAGCTATTAATACAGTGGTGATAGTTAAATATTTAAATCGTACATCTGTATGTGACGAGGAGACACGCATTGTTAAGCTTTTTAAAATATGCAGGATATTTTAACATTTGTTGGCAATGTTTTATGCATACTATAATGTTTTTATATCCCTTCAAATCGATTTTGTAACTTTAAGACGAAAGAAGGTCAACTTAAAGACTCTTTAAATTATTTTTTTAGATCCCCTACTTTCATTCAATGGGGAAGAGTTGGTCATTTTGACAAACTGCAAGGATGTTTGGCTTATTTACTAAAAGGTGAAAAGTCAACCAATGAAATAATAGATCAACACATGTTCCATTGTGTGGCAGAGTAACATTGATAAACTTTGTGGGGATGTGAGAGAATGAAACCAAATTGGCTCTAAATCTGCTTATGCAGGTGATTCAAGGATATTAGCTGAGTATTATCCCTGTGAACATTTAAAGACGAGTGTCTAAAGAAAACAGGCACATTTCCACATTTTATTTAAACAGAGTTGTTTGTTTGTTACTTTATGTTAGATAACTTAAAAAGTTCTGACATATAATGATAAAGTATTCTTTAACATTAATTGTCAGAATAAGCAGTTCCACACTAAACCAAAGAGGGGCAGCAGTGATTATTGACAGCTTCAGTGTCAAACTCAAAAAGTCCAGAAGTATTATGCTGAAGACAAAAACACAGGAAAATTAAGCTGTGATTCACTCTAAGTCGCGATCTGCTGATCAAATAAAGTGAATGAAGAAGGTGAGTGCAGAACAAACACCAGAGGCTTCAGGTAAACACACTGTGCCTTATTTATGAAAGGATTTTTTTGGAAATTGTTACCAATGTTGCACCTCATGCAAAAGAAAAATTTATCAAAATTTGGTAATGATTCAGATCATGGGACAGTTTCATCTATAGGTGTAAGTCACAATTTGAGGCTAAATTGCTGCTTAGCGAGGTCTGCGCTCTCAGAGTGCTTTTCTGTTTTGTTTTGTTTTGCAGATCAGGCCTCTTTCTTAGAGTTGATCTTTTTGCTGCCATATTAGAATATAAGAACTAACTAATTTTTTTGGGGGGGTTTTTTGGGTTCTGTGAAATTCTAAACATTTTTTTTTATATTAACCATTTTTTTCATAAACTTGTCTTTCACTCCTTGAGTTAAAAAAATGTGCCACTAATATAAATAAATATAGTGTATAAAATAGATTTTGTGTCCCTTTTTTCCAAACTAATCTTCTGTATTATTCTATCTGCGTGGGATTCTGTTTAGCACCTCAGTTTATTGGTTTTCTCAGCTGATTTTTTATTTTATTTTTTATTTTTTTCCACCTCAGGTGTTATGGAGCTAACTGAAGCTAGATTAAACACACTGTGACATGTTGGCCCAAGCAGGATCATGGCTGCTAGTAACTCCTCCTAAACACCCAAACCACTTCCTGTCGTCATGGCCTCAAGCTATGCGCCACCTTTTGAGGGCACAGGTGAAGTAAAGGAAGGCTTTCTTTGCCCTCTGTGCCTAAAGGATCTTCAGTCTTTTTACCAACTCCAAGGTCACTATGAGGAGGAGCACGGAGATGATCGGCATGTTCGAGGACAGATCAAGAGTATGCATACTGTACAGATGCACACTTGTATAATGATTTTCTTTTTCTCCTGAACTTTTTTTTATTTCTTTTATAAATGCTAAAATATAATGCATCTGGATGCAATGACTCAGCAGTGGTAAAGAAACAAATAGCTTTTCTTATTATTGTTTTCAGGTTTAGTTCAGAAGGCAAAGAAAGCCAAAGACAAACTTTTGAAGAGGGATGGAGATGACCGCCCAGACACTGGGAGTTATGAGTCCTTCTACTATGGTGGAGTCGACCCATATATGTGGGAGCCTCAGGAACTGGGTGAGAAGGGGGGATAATTCTTTAAGTAGCATCTGATCAATACAAGTCAAGTAACTTTAAAATGGAAGGAAGGTTACAACATTTGTTTTTTCTCTCCCTTTTAACCCCACAGGAGCAACCAGAAGTCATCTGGACCTGTTTAAGAAACACAGAGCTGACCGTATCGATCATTATGTCATTGAAGTCAACAAGCTCATCATTAGACTGGAAAAGGTGTGCCCCCTAACTCTACAGAAATTAGGGATCTTTGATTTTAATACCAAAATCATTAACCAAACACTTAATGTCTCAGTTGACAGCATTTGACAGAACCAATTCAGATGCTGCCAAAATCAGAGGTTTGTTGTTTTTTTTTCTCCAAAAAGCTGCTCTGTGTCTATATAAACATAAGGAGAAATGTTCTTTCTCTTATGCAGCCATTGAGAAGTCTGTAGTGTCTTGGGTTAGTGACTCGGATGTCCCCTTCTGTCCTGATTGTGGAAACAAGTTCAACATCCGAAATCGACGGCACCATTGTCGTCTGTGTGGATCCATCATGTGCAGAAGATGCATGGAGTTTGTCCCCCTACCTTTGGCCCGTATGTAACCACACTCTGGAAATCTGAAGTCCTGTTTTTCATGTTTTGGTTCCTGTTTCTGTACATTTTATTTTTATTGTTTAACAGAGAAACTAATTAATGGGACACGAGAGGCCCTGTGTGTGCCTGGAAGTCCCGGGCAGTCCCAGTCTCCACCAGCAGGGGGTGGTGGCAGTGGGATGGGCAGCAGAAGGGGGAGCATCACCAGCTTGAGCAGCGTGGCCTCCATATTGGAAGAAAAGGATGACGAGAGGATCCGCTGCTGCCACCATTGCATGGACACTTTGCTGAAGAGGCAGCAGAAGTTGGAGGAGAAGGATCATGTTCCAGATGTAGTGAAACTTTATGAGGTAACCGTTGCTCTCAAGCTGATTCTCTTTGAGTTTGATCTGTTGTCTTCTTTCCTGTCATATATTGTTTTCCTTTTTTGGTTCCTTGCTCACTATTGTCTCTCTTTCTGTCAGAGGCTGAGAATGTGTATGGAGAAAGTGGAGGAAAAGGCTCCAGAGTATATTCGGATGGCTGAATCTCTGAAGTAAGTCATAAAAAAGTATTTATTGGAGAAAAAAAAATGTGGTTCACCTTTGAGATGACAATGATTTACTTCCTCATTTAGTGCTGGAGAAACCACATACAATCTGGACACTGCTGGTGGACTGAGGTTGGAAGTGCAAAAATACTACGAGTTGATTGACGCTCTAAGGTACACATCATTGATTAAATAGGTTTTTATAGCTGAGGCAACTGAGAAGTTTAAATGAAATGTTTTCCTGTTAGTAAGAAGATTATAACGCTGGGGCTCAAAAATGACCCGCAGCCACACCCGAAGGCGCTCCAGCTACAGAAAATGATTCGCTACACAGCTACACTGTTTGTGCAGGTGAGACATAGCGAAGACTGGTTAGAAAATGTTAATTTCATATCTAAAGAAATAAGTCACCATTCTGACCTTTTTATCTTTAATTACCATAGGTACACTTTCTGACAGGAGGAAAATCAGTTTTTTAATGTTGCTTTTTCAGGAAAGGCTGTTGGGGCTGATGTCTTTACCCACTAAAGACAAATATGAAGAGCTAAAAGAAAAGAGGAAACAGGAACAGGAGAGGAGACTCCAACAAGAGAGACAGGTAAGATTCTCCTGTTGCAACTTTGTTTTACTTCTTTCTGGGATAACAGGCAATTAAATGTGAAGATTCTCCCCCAACAGGCAGCCCAGGAGAACCGTAACAGGAGGCAGGAGTATGAGAAAACCCGTCCACCGGCTAATGGAGAGCTGCCGCAGGCCCCCAGAGCCCCTCGCATGACTAAAGCCGGTGGCTGGCTCCCTTCTGCAGACTCTGTCAAAACTCGCAGCGACCTGGAAGACCCCCTGCTGCAACAGATTGAAAACATTCAGTCGTTCCTTCGTCAGGCACGTGAGGCCCAGCGGACAGATGAGGTTGCCATGCTGGAGGAGAACTTGCGCCAGCTGCAGGACGAATACGACCAGCAGCAGACCAGGATGGCCATAGCACTCTCCCAAAAACTGGCACAGGAGGAGAGTTTGCAGCAAGGGGAGTTTCAGCGCCTGGAGGAGAGGGAGAGGGAAGGGAGGGAGCAATGGGGCTCAACCTTTACATCTCCTCAACCATCACTCTCCTGGGCGCAATCCCTGGATATCAGCCCAGCAGGTCACCAGACAGAGGAGGAGGAGAAGACAGCAGAGGTCCTGACTCTGAATTCTGAGGCAAGTCCGCCAGCTGTGAGGGCCCTCTCCTCTCTCACATCACAGGAGGATTCTCCTCCACGATTAAGAAGCTTAGGAGGGCACATAACCCCCCCTAGTGGTGAAGGACAGAACAGCACTTCCCTTAACCCATTTGAAGAGGAGGACTCAACTCCCATTGAGGATGATCCATCCAATCCTTTTCTTGAGGACATCAAGAGGGAACATCAGGAACTTTCCAACGGGAAGAAGGAATACAACCCCTTTGAGGAAGATCCAGACAGAGAAGAGGACAAAGTGGCTGAGATGGCCTCAAGCAACCCCTTTGAGGACGAAGACACAGACACAGGCAACCCCTTTATGGACGCTGCTGGGAACTCGCCGGAGGCCTCGACCAATCCCTTTGATGGTGATGCAGAAGATGAAGCTTTGCCGGATGTAGACATGATCGAGGAAGAACTGCTTCTCCAGCAGATCGACAACATCAGGGCATTCATCTTCGATGCCAAACACAGCGGGCGGCTCGACGAGGTTGAGCTCTTGTCGGAGAACCTCAAAGAGCTTCAGCACACTTTGCAGGAGCAGAAGAAAAAGAGGCACTAACAAACTTTGGCCGCGATCACCTGCTATTTACCAAGTTGTCCATTGCTTATTCACTTTAGGAACGATCATCCCAGCTTAGAGCAGTTTGGATCCATTTCCCATTAGAGATTAATTAAACACGATCCCTAGTCCCCTAATATCTTTCTAGATCATTTTTGCCTGTATGAGGTTTCATAGGTTTGACATCCAACCCATGCATATATGCAAAGCACATGTATGAAGTTTTAAAATTACAATAGAAAATGAACAATGGAAGATTGGAAAATGTTATTTTGGAGGATAAGAGTTTGTTCTGCAGTTGAAGCTGTGATCAAAGTCCAAATGGTTCTCAGCTCTGAGGATAAGTGCACTACTGTGTTTGTGGATCTGCAACTCAACGTTTACAAAGAACTAAACCATATTCCTCCAACGGGGACAAGAGCAGTGCTGTTTTATATCGACAACTCTAAACCGATCCTAAAACTATCCGATTGTTGATGCATCTCTTGTTACCCTATTAGTTCCATGTAGGAGCTAATGGTGCATTTCACAGTTCGCATTTCATCTTTTCAGGGTAGGCTTGTCTGATTCTAATAAAATCTGCAGTTACCGGTAAATAATTTTTCCCATTCTAATCTAAGTGTCAAGTATAAAAGATTTAGCTGAAGACTTGATCAAATGTTAAAATTGCTTTTAATGCATTTGATCTTATAGCAAACCACCTTAATGACTTCACCAAAAGCGAATGTTTGTGTTTCTCTACAGGTTGAGGTGTTTGTTTTTTGGTGAGCATTGTGTGGCCGTTAAATGTTGAGCTCAAAGCTGGTTTTGTCTCCCTGTCCTCCTGTGTCTGCTCATGGTGCATGTCTTCTCTTTGGACCTTTAATCCAGAGTTCACCTGAACAGTTCACTCAACACTCTGTATGTGCTTGACACTATTCGACCAGGCACACTTTGGACGGCTTTAATAGGAGTAGAAAGTTGAAAAGCGCTGAAACTTGTCTAGAGATAAGTGATCGAAGGAAATTTATGACATATTTGTTAGATGTGCGCTAACACTACATGGATGCCAGCAGTATTATGATCCAGCTCTTCTTTGTTTGTCCTAACTTGATTCTGTTCTTCCTGTCAGATTTTCCATGTTATACTTTATTTGCTAAACCCTGAAAACTGCAGATCCTAAATATGTGGCACTAAATATTTTTGTGGCTTATTGAATTCCTTACATGTATGATAGCAGTTAATTTTAGTTTGGAAATATTTGCAACATTCCTGCATTATATATAAAAAAAAAGGAATTGCACAATAACCCACATCCATCACTTTAACAACTAGCAGAGGTTCCTTCAATACAAATAAAACTGATCTGTAATAACATTTGATGTTTCCTGTTCTTTTGTGCAACAACTGTATGAGCTAGAATGTACATACCGGTATATTGGAATTGCAGTTAGATTATCGCTGAGCTTTTATTCCAGTAATCAATTAGTTATACTCAGTCATATTTTACACTATATGAAAATCCAGATGTGTATGTTACCTAAAAAAATAAGCTAAGCAACATTAAAATCAGGTTAGCTTCAAATTAGTGATGGGTTAATAAGAAGTCATGAAGTGTTTGTACACATTGCCAAATTCTTCATACTGCCTTGATACTGTGACTCAATACTGACACCTGCTGGAAGTTTAAAAGCCTTACAGGCAGCCTGTTTGACAGACTAAACACTATTTCGATGAGCTAGTACAATAGAATAATGAAATTATTCTGTTATAGTGTGTTAATATCTTTGTTGGGATTTAAAATATTTTAGTTTTTTTTTTTAGATGCAATCAATAAATAATGTGAACATATAAAATAAAAAATATATGGGGGAGTTGCGGTCTAGTGGTTGAGGCATAGAGCTTAGAATCCTGAGGTTCTGCTTTTGAGCCCCACTCCCTCAGACTGCCACTCTGGGTTCCTGAGCAAAGACCCTTAACCCCACAATGCTCCCCAGATGCCACACAATGGGCAGCCCTCTGCTCCCCAAGGGAAAGGTTTAAATGCAGAGTTCATTTTGTTGCTCTGTACTTGTGACAGTGTAAAGACAGAAAAAGCTGTGGAGGGAAAAAAAAAAAAAAAAGGAAAGCGAATGTGATGGGGATGGGGATGCTTGGGGAATTAGATTTTTTAAAATTCTAATAAATACAGTAAATATGTTAATTTGTATTTAAATTTAGATAACTTCAGTGATACTTAAGAGGAACAGGATGACATGAGAAAATTAAAATAAATATGCGTTCATTCTGCCTTGAAGCAGCTCCGCATTAATTGATGAATTCGATAATGATCCACCAAAGATCAGATTTTATTTTGGCAGATCCAAGCATATACATTAAATTTGTTTAAGGTTGCAATATAAAAAAGAAACAAGCTAGAAATATAGTTAAAATATTGAAAGTTGGATGGAATTCAGTTTAATATATACAGAAATTGTCCACATTGATGCATCCCAGAAGTCAAGCAGATCGTATTTTGGTGTAATCCTTTCACATATAGTCACAACAAAAACGGCCAGAATAATGTCCTGAGATGACAGAAAAGTCTGTTGTGCAGCTTCTCATTCCTGTGACTCAGCCATCTTGGCGCGATATTTTCCTGTCATCTCCCTTGGCAGCGGTGTGGTGCCAGGACACGGCACTTGGCCCTCCACCTCACAGATGCATTCCCTTAGACAGTACTTCTTTGGCCCGAAGTTGGCCGGGTTGGATGCCTGCATCTTTGCTTGAGCTTCAGCTTGCAGCACTTCTCTGCAGAGAAAGGAAAGTAGATGGTTTCAATACAAGAATAAATCTGGACAAAGATAAATAGGATCTAATCCATACGTTTTCTTAAATTTATAGCAAAATGTCAATATGATGATAAATGTCTTTAAATGCATGTTAATGTATCTGAATACATTCAGAGCACTGCGCTACAAAAACACTTTTTGAAACAGTTTCACTACTAATGCTAGGTAACATTAGATACAATACCAATAATACTGCTAAACACCACAGTTTATGTATATTTTAAAATATGACTTATTTACTGTAGCTCTCATAAAAACAGGGGTATATATATCTATATAGATATCTATATCTATATATACACACCAACAAAAAAAAAACTTAAATTGTTTTTGCAGTTAGCAAATACAAAAATTTAGAAATAAATTTCATCATATTTTATATGATCACAAATATTCCTAATCCAACAATGAGTTTGTTTTTTATAGTTAAGGTTGAATGATCCCATCTCACCACCCAGTTTGTCACAGTTCTAGTTGCTTGAACTGTTCTAATTTATATGAGTGAGTAAGGCTAAGTGGTTAAATGATTTTTTTTTGTTTATGAAGATTTTTTTTTTTTCCCCATCAAACCCCTCCTTGGGCTTCCATAATATGGAAGCCCAAGGAGGGGTTTGATGGGGAAAAAAAAGTGATGAACTGATGTCACTCTGAGATATTATCTCAGAGTGACATCAGTTCATCACTTTTTGTTCGTATATGTGTATTCATAACTGATAAACTAGCTCACTATTTTTTTCCAGGTTTGTTGCAAAATATGATTGTTTTACAGCCTTTTCCACAGCTTTAATTGTATTGTCCTTTGAATTAAGGTCACCTCCTCCCAGAAGAGATGACTAAAATAAAAGACATTTAATTAGTATTTTCTATTATGAAACTTAAGTAAAAAAAAAAAAAAACTAAAAATCTATTGGATTTGGTAGGAAAAAAATTGGAGAGTACATTATTAAGCCATATGGCCCAGCCATTTGAGTTAATAATTGAGATTATCTTTTGGGAGGCAAATTCTCTTGTCTATCCTTTCTGAACATTAGATAAAATCTTTTTCCCCACTTTAAAATGTTTCTCAAATCAAATCAGTATAAAGCAATGCTACAGTAGTAAAATGTACATTTTAAGGTCGTTTTGATCATCCTTAACACTTGTTTTGATCAATGAGAAAACCCTTAAAGTAATCGAACAAAAAGAGACAAAACATTCCCCATACTTACTCTGATTTCCCCAGAATCTTCTTAACATGTTGTGAAATCTGCTTGTAGTCCTTCCCTTCCACATCCACCAGTACCTTTTCACCATCATCTAAACAGAGACAGAGTTGAACCAAGATCTAAACCAACCCTAAGCCTTACTAATGCCATACTACCACACAAGCATACGCACCCAGGTAAAACTTGAGGAAGGGCGATGGAGTCATGTTTTTGAACATCATTATTTGTACCCAAGGATTCTTGTACTGAATCTGCGGGATGTTAAAAAACACAAACTTCCTGGAGGACAGAGAAGAACAAACAACTTCACAGTATGCGTGCATTTACAATATAAATTACAATCCATGTGAAGGATTACACTGCTTATGTGATTCCTTTAGTGTAATGTTTTGATGCTAAGATGTTAGCTCTGACCTTGCTCCTTCGCTGAGCTCTCCGTGTGTGTTGTAATTCACAGTCATAATCTTCACCCGGTTTTTAAAGATGATGTTGCCCTTCTGGAGATACTCCAGCGTCCTTCTAATCGGATACCTTCCTTTCATAGGCATTTTAAACAAACTAATAAAAAAATATCTTTCTTGGAACCCAGCAAGCACACATACGGTGTGCGACGCGGATTGATGACGTCTTTGTACCTCGGGAACGCTCTTCTTCTTCTTGGATTAATTGGCGGTTGGCAACAAGCATTTAGTAACATTACCGCCACTTACTGGTAGGGAAAGTGGTTTGTGATGGACTGTCTACTAATAAATATATATATAATTTCTAAGGGAAAAAAGAAAAAAATATACATACTTAAACATAACTTTGTATTCTACCCGCCTATATCATACACATATTCAAATTTTTTTCTGCCATTTTTCCATGAATTTTTCTTTAAAGCTACAGTGTGTAGTAATTACAGGGATATACAGTCAGAAATGTAATATA